TCAAGCCACTGGGGTTCGGGACTTGAACAACTTACTGTCAGCTTTAATTGGTCTAACTTTTATAAGATAGATAAATACATGTATTCATTATTATCTATATTTTTTGTTGTTTAATTTAAAACCCTGATCTTGCCTCTGGTCTAAGTCACCCACTTCCTGTGCCCTGGAATTCCTGTGGCTTCTGTCTCTCCCTAATGCAGGTGTTCCGATGTTTTCTATACCCAGATGGACCCTGAACCTTCTGCCCTCTCGTCTCCCATTTTGAGGTAGTGTTTCAGTGTATTTTCTGGGAGTTGAGAGTGTGTATGGATGATATGTAGTTCTTTATGTGCAATTTGAACCTTACTGCTCTGTGTAAGTACATTGGACTCACTGCCCTGGAGCAAGCAGCAGTGATTCCAATTAGACGTGTAGCACTGTCAACTCCAGAAAGCACTTTCAGCTCCCTCTGGACCTTCACCCTTAGGGATAGTCCTAAGTCTGCACCCCACTTCCATGCTCTTTCACATCCTTTTCTGACAATCGGACAAACTCCTCCTTTCCGGTAAGCTGCTGCCTCCCCCAGTCAGGACCACCTCCACCACCACAGCCGCTGACTTCCCTCTTTGCCCCCAGCATGCCCCCTAACAGGCTCTGGATGCCTGCAGGGGAGAAGAAAGAAAGGAGAAACAGAAAATGAGCCTCCGTTACAAGAAGGCAGTATGTGTTAGAAGGGCCTGTTTAGGGCAAGAACACGAGACTGATGTGGTATTTTTGCAACCATAGTTTTAAAACATAAATGGTTGTTATTTAGGAGTAGGTCGAACACATCACCTCCCGAGAAGCTGGAGGTGTGACTGTGGTGTGCGAGCAGATTTCCGACAGCCCGGGGGAGGAGAGGCATCTGCAACGGCTTTCTGTCTGCTCTCTCTTCATGTCCCCTTCCCCCAGATCCACCTGCTGTAATGCGTCGAGGTTTGTAAAATGCAGACTTGACGTCAAAATGGCACTGACGAAAACCTCAGGTGGATCACCACTACCCCACCAAACGAGGGCTGAACCTGAGCCTGAGCGGCAGATTCTCCAGGCTATGGCCCGTGGACTGCCACCAAGTCCTCCCTCTACGGTGGACTCTGCTTGGGGCATGCAAAAGTGACGAAGTGACAACAGCCCTCCACTGCCATGCCCCCCAGCCTGCCTCGGGCTGCCTCGGGCCACCCCTCACTGGCTGAACTCCTACTCAGCCCTCAGAGCTCAGCCGGCCTCTCTGAGACCGCCGGTGTCTGAGCCTTTGGCCTAGAGAAGCAAGTGCTCATGGCGGCAGCCCTTGACTTGCTGTGGACAGGGCTCTTCTCTTTCACAGCCCACGGGCTCCTCGAAGAGCAGGACCGTACTGTCCTCTCCCTGGCAACTCCGTGCTTCCCGCCGAGTCCCTTACACCTTCGGGCGCGTCTTCCCCACGAGTGAACCATGCACGGCCATTCTGTAGGGCTGTACCAGGCAGCTGCTGTCCTGCTGGGAAGCCGGTCCCTGGTAGGACGCTGCGTCTCACCCCAGATCGCCAGGCCAGCGCTGTCCGCTCCTCCCATCCAGAGCTGCTCGGATCTCAGGAGGGCGTCCCGGCCTGCCTGCCTCCTAGACGCTCACTACGGAACGGCTCGTCGACTTCTTCCTGTGGGAAGGCCTGTTTGTCGTACCCCTCTGTTCTCGATCGTCCCCAATCCTTCTAGGAACTGGTCAGTCACTGGGGATAACTGGTCAACCCTAGCAGGCTCAAGGTTTTAACTCGAGGCCCCCCACCTCCCCGTTTCGGAAGCCTGCAAGCATGAAAGACATGGAGGAGGACAAGTGAGGACCCGTGAACTGGAGGAAGTGAAGGCACACACATCGCCGTCATGGAGGACGGTGGACAGGTCAGCGAACAGCGCTAAGGAACCCGAGAGCGGTAAAACCACAGTGGAACAAGAGGCGCCGTGCGAGCACGGAACGTGCGTGAGTATTCTGTCCTCCCTGGGCCTGGGGTCGGCTTCGGAAGTCTGTGGGGAGACGGTCCATTGTCTACCCAACCTCCATCCTTAACGCTCTGCTCTGATGTTCGCGCCCATCCCAGATCTCAGCCCTCAGGGTGACAGTGTGAGGGATGGTGGCGCTGGGAGGCGATGACTTCGTGAGAGTGGAAGGAGGTCCCAGGAGCCCCACGCCTTCCACCACACTGGACCCAGCTAGGAGGCCAGTCCTCAGCAGCCTGAGCCCGCCTGTGCCTCCATCTTCGAGTCCTGAGCCTCTAGACAAGGAGCTACAAATTCCCGGTATTTACAAGTTACCCGGCCTCTGGCGCGGTCAGCAGAGCCTGAGCAGAGGAAGACGTTAGTAACAGCCCCTGAATTCCTGTGGGACAGCACTACATCCAGCAAGAGGCGACCATGACTAAGCACAGCCAATGAGACATGTGGGGTGTCGGCAAGTCTGGGAACTGTGCGAGGGTATCCCCCTTAGTTCTTCCTTCCTGTGGGGTAGAATGCAGAGATAATGACTGGTTTCAAGCAGCCGTTTTGGATTGTGTGGAAGCAGACTAAGGAATAGCAAGGGCAGTAGGACAAGGCCTGGGTCCTGGACACTGAGATCCTTGGCACCTGCAGAGCCGGAGTGGAGGAGCCACCAGGACTGTAACACCAGGGAAATCAGCATCTAGTGCAAAGTCACGGTTATTCAGAGCTTCTGAACTCACTCCTAACTGGTGAACCACTCCTGGCTTCAAGGAGTCTGAGATCCAGAACAAGAATACTTGGTACAATGCCAAGATCTAATAGAAAGATACCCATGCCTGATTCTGGGGAACGACTGGATGGATGAAAAATCAAGCCACAAGGAAATAATGTTGTAAACTCATCAGGGAAGCTAACCCCTCAGAAACGATACTATAAAATGTCTATAAAAACAGCCACGAGAAAGGGCATGGATGGACACACGTGGGGCTGATCTCGGTGGTGACCCATATTTGGATGTTTGCTTTTGACTATGACCAAGTAATACTTTAGAGGTTTAAAAATTAAAATAGGGACCAAGGTGGTGTGGATGTTAAGATGTTGGATCCCATATGGCCAATGGTTCAGTTCAAGTCTTGGGCCCAGCAGCCTGAAAATTACACTGGGGACGTGTGCGTGTGTGTACACAAAATCCTGAGAGGAGAATGGAGAGAAGGAACTGTGGTGTAGCCATCCTCCCTGGGGGGTGATTTCTGTTTCTCTTTCTCCCTGTATATCTCTGTCTCTCTCTAGTGAGTGTGCACGGCCGATGACAAACTACCGAAACAAATTTTAAATAGAAGGAATTTTAAAAGAAAAGCAGAAACTTATAACTATTTATATGAAGGAAGCTCTATTTACCTAAATTCATTTTTAAAGGGAGACTCCTGCCTGTTCTTAGGCCCTCAGACACCCGGGTTCTCATGTTGAGTAAGCGGTAACTAGATGTGGGGTCATGGGGATGTCACTTACTATCCAGACCTTGGTAAAATGAGAACGTGAGTAAAAGCACTTTGAAGTTCCTTCTAGCATTACAATTCTTTGGATTTAATCAGACATTTGCTCCAATGAATATCTTACTGCACGTCTCCCATCAGAGGGCCGTGAATTCGAGTTACTAAAATGAGCTAGCAATGGAGTTGCGCTGTGTCTATTTCCAAGTGCCTCCAGATATAAATGCTAGAGAAGGCCAGAGAGATGACTCCGAACTTGGCCCTCCTGCTATGTTTCCATAGTGGCTTTTCCATACACACAGCATGGTATTTCTTTCTTTTCTTTTTTTTTTTTAATTTTGCTAGAAGGCACATTCATTCACCCGAGACAGAGAAAGAGAGAGGAGAGAGAGAGAGAGAGAGAGAGAGAGAAAGTCCCCCCGCCCTCGTGGGGGGGGGTCACACTGTTTCCTCCGTTCTTCTCTCGGGATTTTGGGCACACATGCACATGCACTCAGAGTGATTTTCAAGCCACCAGGTCTGGGGCTCGACCGCAGTCAGCCACGTGGGATCCAGCCGCCATAACCACCACACCATCGTTGGCCCAGTGTGCTATTTCTGAAGGTGCTGTAGTTTTTGTCCACGCCTATTTCCTCGTAGACTGTGGGCCCCTGGAGAGAGACTGCATCTCCTAGTGCCACTCAGGCCCTGACTGCAACGTGTGATTTATAAATGATCGCAGAAGAGATGAAGGAGAGAAAGGGAATTTGTGTAAAAAGATCCTGATCCTAAGAGAAAAGGATGACTAATTTTGTGACTGGTAACTCAAAGCCTTCTCTGTTTTCTATGTAATCCAGATTATGATTTTAACTTGTGACATTCATTATTCACAAAAATTTTTGAATACCTGATCATTTCTGCAAGCTTGACCGACTTTTAGGTTGTTGCCAGAATAATTCAGCCATTGAGAAAAAATGGGGCGATGGGGCACATGCCAGTACGGATCCAAAGCTTCTGCTTGAATCTCAGTTATGGATTACACTGAAGCTTCTGCACCTTCGGGGAGACCTGGCGAAGGACGGAGGGGCCTTGGCGCAGCCCGTCTGGAGGGACCGCGTCAGCTCCGGGAGGGAAGTCCCACTGAAGCTCTCGTCTTGGTGAGGGCAGGCCAGCGCCATGACCACGCTCACTGCTGCCCTGCATATCTCAGCACTGTGGAGGCCATTCTACCCCTACCCCGTCCCCAAGGCAGGCCACGAAAGCCACAGAGAGCTCCGGCTGCTGTCTGATTGCCGCTCCCTGTGCTCTGCACTCCCGCCGGGATTGTCACCCTGCTTCTGACTGGGCCCGAAGGTGAGCTTATTCTAACTGGGGTCCTGAAACCTACTCAGGTGGGTGTCCACGCAGAACGAGACGTGGTCTGAGTACACTCACGTGTGCCTCCCTGATGGAGACTTGCACCACGCTGTAAGCATTTATCCGCAGGGGATCAAAAATAAAATCAGGTTATTAAATAAAAGCAGATCTCAAACAACAATGAAAATATCAGTATTAAAGAGCATACCGCAGTACCCTGGAGTTCCACACACCGTCTTCATGAGCACCTGGTGTTCCACAATCTTAGAGAGTCCGAAGTCAGCTAGCAACACAGGAGAGAGGTGAGTGAAGCACGTTTTTCTCAGCTTTGATCAAATGCCAGAAGACTTTTATTCAAAAATATGCACTTATTTATTTTGTTTGCTTTTTGTATTTGATAATGGGGTAGGTGTGGGTAGGGTAGGAAGCTAAACACAATGCTTTATATGCATACACACGAACCTATATTTAATCTTTGTTCCTCTAAACAGTTCCCAGATTTAAGCAAATAAACTATTTTTTCTTAAAGAAATAGCTTTGTTTTGTTTTATTTAATGGTATTACTTCAGAGATTTATGTAACAGTACTCTAAGGGACAATAGAGAATTAGTGGTATAATTCAGAACCTTTAATCCACTGAGAAAGGTAATAAAAAATGGAATTTCATAAATGTAATGAAAATAAGCAGAAACATCAAAAGGATTATTCTGTTTGAGAATAAATAATGTTAGTCCCGAGTGCATTTGACAGATAAGAATTTACTCCATTTAAAGACTTTTTTTTTTTTTACGAAAACCCTTTTTATTCATTTCAGAATTGTACCTAGGTGAAATACTGTCAGAGTTGCTGGTGCTAGGTCTACTTGCTGGGAGGCGTGTGTCTCACTCAGGAATCATCAGGAGACCAGTCAAGGCCATTCTTCAGAGAAGCAGGTGCAGAATGGGCGCCATCTTAGACTTCAAGGATAAACCCACATGCCTGATCCTCCTCAGGGAGAGCAGCAGGGGGCCCTTCCGAAAGGGGGGCTGCGGCCTAAGCTAGGATCTTCCCATCCATTTAAAGAAATGTTTTTAAGGATCGCATCTTTGAAAGGGATGTCAAAGGAAGTGGAAAGTCCCCGCTGTCCGCTGCCTTGCAGGAGTGGTCATGAGAGCAGGCCGGCTGCAGGCAGGACTCAGGGCTCTGCCTTCAGTTCCTGCATTTGTGCAGCACGTTGTGTTGAGCGAGCTTTTCCACGACAGGAGCAACGGAAGTTCCAAAGCTGTCCACATTTGTAAGTGCACTGAACTCCTTAAATGAGCGCTACGAAGGGTGGCCCCAGAAGAGCCATGACCTTCACAGGAGTTCAAACAGACTCTACTAAGGAGAGTTTGTCCAAAATAAAATATATATATATATAATCCAAAATAAAAAATATATATATGTAAATTATATATGGGTAAATGAAGATTTTCGTTGGCAGGGACGTGAAAAACAAAATTTAATACTTCTTTCTCCCTAAAATGCTCATTTGAAGATTTCTTTGGGGGGGGGGGGGAGTCAGCCTATAGCTTAAGGGAGCAGGATGCCATGTGGTGGACTGCAATTTGAATTCGAGCTCCTGCAGCTTGCAAAACATGCTGGGTGTATGTGCGTGCATGCCCAAATCTTGACAGGATGGCGATATGGAGAAAGGATTGCAGCATGACCAATTCCCATTGGGGGGTGATTTCTCTTTCTCCCTATCTCTCTGTCTCATTGTTTCTGGCAAGTCCTTATGCCTTTTGGCAATTAAAACGAAAAAATTAAAAATGAAATTTGAGTAGGTCAAAATTCCCCAAAGTTCATTTCTGTGATTCTTCAAAATGTTTAATGTGTGTGTGTGTGTGTGGGGGGGGTTCCCAGAGTCAAATAAGGCTTTAGGGAAAACCTCTTTGTATGCCATATAACACGACAGTCTACATGGGAGCATTTTTAGGGTCCTGGGGAAGTCCTGCAGAAATAAAACATCATTGAACCTTGAGGCTAGCATTTCCTAACTTATTTGACCAGCAATAGCACCTCTGCAAATAGCACCTCCAACCAAAAGGAGTTCTTCTCCCTTATTAACACTGCTGACAAACCAGTGTTCTGTGGAGTGCGTTTGGGGAAATACAGATATTAATTTATCTCTGTTCATATAAACAAATGACTCATAGCCTAGATTCGCAAATATGCATGAAATATTTGCATCAAAGTTCTTGATTGTTTAAAAGTAAGCTTCAAATAATCAGTAGGATATAAGTTAAGAACCAACACCTAGCACAGCTGTGAGGTTTTTGTTGTTTTGTTTCATTTTTGTTTTAGATTTTTCACCATAGGGTATGTGCACTCATCAGAGAGAGACAGAGACAGAGTGAAAGAGAAGGTGAGAAATCACTCCCCAGAGGGATGGCCATGCCTTAACCCCTTCTGCTCCCTTCTCCTCTCAGGGACTTTAGGCATGCACCCATACATGTATGGCACGTACCGCAATCCCCCCTTCTCAGGATTTTAGGCTTGCACACACACACACACACACACACACACACACACAGGTATGGTATGTTTTTCAAGCTGCTAGGTCTGGGACTTGAACCTTAAAGTTGGCCATGTGGGATGCAGCTGCCTTAGCCACCACGCCACCTGCTGGCCTCCAGAACTGTTCGTTTTTCTGTCCTTTTCTTCATTCGAAACTCATCTACAAAACACAAAGTCATCTCCTGAGGTCCCTGCCACTTCTAAGAGCTGCTGCCTTTGTGTGCTCAACCACGGGGAAACATTTCCAGACCAGCGTTCTGGGAAACAGCTCACACTTCCAAAACAGGGCCTCATTCCTTTACAGCAGTCATATATCTGAGGGACTTAAATAAAGGCAAAACCAGATGGAACCACAGTTAAAAACCTCACAAAATAAACTCCTTCTGCTCTGGGGGAGGGGGTCACAAAACATCAGGAAGGCTCTCACCGATTTTGAGGGGTGCATCCGGAGCAGGGGTTGCATAGAGAAGGTTCTCTGGTTTGAGGTCACGGTGGACAATCCCATTTTCATGTAGGTACTAAACAGAGAAAGTAATAATGTCTGTTATAATTCTAGCATAGGTCCAAACTCTGTATTAATCTTCTCAGAATTAGGATAATCCTAAATTATGTGATTCAACATACACGCGTTATGATTTCAAAGTCAACGCCATAAAGGAAGACAGGTTTTGAACTACACACGTGGAAGACTAGCGCAGTCCCTAGGTCATGAGCTGCACTTCAGGTGGCACAGAATCAACTCCCAGTAATGAAATGCTTACTCCTCCGAGACCGCTAGTCCCGTTCTCTATGTGGTACTGCCTTCCCAGCCGTAATTGGCTAATCAGAATCATAATAAAGTCAAGGTGCTGTGCACTGGCACTTGTCTGGTTTATTGTCTGAACAGCATAATCGTATGTGGAATCTTACAAATCCACGGACATAGCAAAAACTTCGTAATTACCACCTGAAAAACACTTAGATGTGAGTAGTTACTACAGAGAACTCTCCTTAATAAGAAGCACATTGTCGAATGATGATGAAAGCTTGCACAGGCTCTTCTGAGAACTAGTAAATTCAACTATCTATGCAGCTATAGAAAGTTACGTTTTAGATGAATCTTAAAGATCATTTTACTGTATTTTATATTATTTTGTAAGATTACAGGTAACGCACATAACACAAGGAACACTACTAAGCGCTCCCGGAAACGCTGACGTCCCACCCTGACCTCATGTTCCCCAGTTGCAGGGCCCCCTTTAAAAGTGACCACTTACCAGTTTGAAGCTCTCTTTAAAAAGTGGGTTGAGTTTTTCTTTTATGCACTTACACATATGAACCCAGCCAGGGGCCACATTAGTGTTTCTGCCAACAAGGAGTCACCCACACAGGATGGTGGTGCAGACTCCCTCCCGCCCAGAGGTGCTGCAGCCACCCTGACACTCAGGCGCTCGTGAGGCCGCTGCTGCAAACGCCCTGGACTGCAGCCAGAAAACCCACCCTGTGCAATTCTGTACAGCGCATGGTATTCGTAAAGAATGGTAACCCACATTCCTGGTTTACGTATTTCTTTTGCTATACTTTTATCATGACTTTTTCTTTTAAAAATTACTTATTTTAATTTTATTTATTATTATTTTCTAAATTTTACTATGGACAACTGTGCTCACCAGAGAGACAAAGTGAGAAAGCAATCTGCCTGGTCCAGGACTCAAACTGCAGTCAGCCATGTGGGAGTCCAGTGTCTTAACTACCATGCCACCTGCTGGCCCACTTTTATCATTATTTTAGAGTGCTTTCCTTCTACTTAGTTTTGAAAAAGAAAAAGGTGAGCCAGTCAGTGACATGGTGGTTGCAGTAACTGGCTCCCACATGGCCAACTGTGCAGTTCGAGTCCTGGACCCACTGGCTTGAGAAACACGCTAGGTGCCTGGGCATGCATGCCCGAAATCCTAGGAGGAAAATGGAAGAGAAGGGATTGCGACCTGGCCACCACCTCTGTGGGATGCTTTCTTACTTTTTCTCTCTCCAGTGAGCACATGTGCCCTATAGCAAATTTAAACATAGTAACAATAAAATAAAGGCTACTGTGAAATAGGCCATGTTACGCCAGCACAGACTCACACCTCGGTGTCTACCACGTTTCCCGACGGCATCACTTCTCTTGTGCTTGACTTAATCTCGTGCGCACGAGTTTGTCCCAGCCCTCCATGGCACAGGATGTGGAGGACAGTGACACCTACAACCCTGATCCTGCGTAGGCTTGTGTGTGTTTGTGCCTTGATTTTTAACAGAAAAGCTAAAAATATGTACAAAAATAATAAAGGATGTTAAAAACAGAAAAAAATTTATGGACTAGGATAAAAAAAGGAAAATATTTTTGTACAGCTATGTAATGTGTTTTCTTAAGGGTTATTACAAATGAATCAAAGTTAAAAACCTATAAAGTTCACAAAACAAAAAAAGCTACAGTAGGCTAAGATTAATTTATTATTGTTTTGAAATAATTTTTATTTAACTTTATTATCATTATTTCTTTTTAACTTGAGAGACAGAAAGAGAGAGAGGGAAAGTGAGAAAGCAAGCCATCAGGTCCAGGGCTCAAACCATGCTCAGCCATGTGGGAGTCCAGTGCCCTCAACCACCACGCCACCTCCTGGTCCCCAGGATTAACTTACTATTAAGAAATAATAGAAATACGGGACCAGAAGATGGCATAATGTAGTCGACCACAGTCCGAGCCCCAGACCTGGTGGCTTAAAACTCACACCGGGCACGTGTGTGTACATGCCCAAGACCCCGAGAGGAGACTGGAGAAGGAACTGCACTGTGGCCACCCCCCATGAGGGGTGATCTCTTGCTTCTGTCTTCCTGCCTCTGTGTCACCAGCAAGAGCACACGCCTACAGCAAAAGTATCCTTAACAAAATATAGATAAAAAAATAATGGAAATAATACATTCAGTGTGTAATTCACCTAAGTGCAGTGTGTAGAAGTCCATGGTTGTGTGTGGTCCTGTCCCTGGCCTTCAGTCACTGGGCACTCCCTCACTGACACTCACCCAGAGCCTCTCCCCAGTCCTGCCCGCGCCATCCAGGGTAGATACGGGGTATTTTTAGTGTTTACACTGTATTTTCCTATGCCTTTTTTATGTCTCCATCGGTTTGGATATGCACGTCTTTACACAGTGTTTCAGTTACCGACGGTCAGCACCAGAACATGCACCGGGTCTGTGGCCAGAGGCAGGCTACCGTCCCTGCTTAGGTGTGGCGTGGGCGACACCGTCCAGTGTGCGTGAGCACACGCTGTTTGTCAACGACACGTTCTCAGGATGTACTCCTGTCCTTACACAATGCCTCGTTTGTGCACACACAGAGAGTCTCGGTTTTCTCCACTGTTCTACTTAAATGGATCATGAATCTGGATTTTTTACACTGCTTTTTTTACTCAGCAGTGAGTCTTTGAAACTCATCCCACATAGCGCTTTGGCTTATTCGGTTTAACTCTGGCATCCGTGTTGCTGGCTGTATCATAATCCACTGTGGTATTATCTTGTTAACGGACATCCAGGACATGCACTCAGGTGACTGTGAAGCCACACCTCCATGTAGCCTCCGGAAAATCCCACCGACTCTCGCGAGTATGGAGAAGCGCCTACAATTGGATCAGATAGTTCTGGCATCGCAGGCCCTGAGAGGACCTCGGGGACCCTCCAGTGAACTCTGGGAACTGCTGTCCTAGAGCCTCTCAAGGCATAAAAAGAACAGCGTGAGAGCTGAGTAATGCTCATACTTCCTTTAATTTTCAAAGTGGCTTTAAATGAAACGCACACCTCTAATCTCATCACGTGCTAATCTCATCATCTCAAGATCACTACACATGGAGAAGAAATACCTGAGAGAAGAAAAGGCTTTGCAAACTGTGTGGTCATGGGAACTGTGCAAAGAGATTTTATAATATTGCACTACAAAGCAGAACTGAAAAAAAAGCTAATTATGGAGGAATACATCTTATCAAGGTATTGTAATTTTAACTACAGATTATTCAAATTACGTAGATTCAACATAAATAGATAAAGGACAAGAAAAAAATAAGAAGCATGATAACTGGATATTCTAGAGTAAACCAGGTGAGAAAAGTTTCATTAAAAAACTAAAGACAAGCAAAGAAACAGAACAAAAACCTAAGCAATTCAGGAGACAATTTATATGATCTTTTATATTAATTAACAACTTACTGAAAAAAGAAATAATAAATCTGACAGCAATTGTAGGTCCTCACTACTAAAGATTATTTTGACATTTGGCAACCTTTAATAAAGAAATTGGAAGAGAAAATAACCAGGTATGCACAAGTTAATTAAAACTTTAAGGAATGAAAAGAAGAAGGAGAAGAAAGTTGGAGGCTGAGAAGTGCAATTAACTTACTGGCTTAGTTTTTAAAAATTGTGTTATCTTGGGGCCAGCAGGTGGTATGGCGGTTAAAGTACTGGACTCCCACATGGTCACCTGCAGTTCAAGCCCTGGATCTGGTGGCTTAAAAATCATGCATGGCGCATATGCACGTGTGCCCAAAATCCTGAGAGGAGAATGGAGGAGGAGGGATTACAGAATGGCCATCCCTCGCCCCTGGGGGGAGGGTGATTTCTCACTTTCCCCCCTTTCCTTGTCTCTGTCTCTCTCTCTCTGGTGAAGGCATGTACCCTATGACAAAACCTAAAAGAAAGGAAAGAAAGAAAGAAACAGAGAAAGAAAAAGGAAATCACTTTAGATTTGCCAAAGTTGCCCTTTTCTGTAAGGATATTCCAATCAGAAAATACCTGCCTTAAATAATTCATCATTTTTCCCCTTCTGTTTTGCTGCCCAAAAGCTCAGTAAAAAAGAGGTTTCGGGACCAGCAGTTAGCATAATGGCTATGTCGCTGAACTCCCATGTAGCTGATTGCAGCTCGAATCCCGGACTGATGGCTTAAACTCACGCTGGGCGCGTGTGAGTGTGTGCCCAAGATCCCGGGAGGAGAAGGGATTGCGGCGTGGCCATTCCCCCTGGGGGGTGATTTCTTGCTTTCTGTCTCTCTGTCTCTGTCTTTCTGGTGAGCGTACGTGCCCTATAGCAAAAACCTCTCTCTCAAAAAAAAAAAAAAAAAAAGAGAGGTTTCAACAACCACAGCCTCATTTTGTATGTTGACCTCCCCCTTTCTCTATTTGCTTTTTGTTCCTATTTCTACTTTAATAGAACTTTTGTATGTGCTTTTCATTCAATTTGTCACAATCCTCGACCCAAGAAGATGTAACTTAATACAAACAGAGTGAACCATGCACTGAATTTTTTTTTTGAGAGGTTTTTGCTATAGAGTGTGTGCACTCGCCAGACAGACAGAGACAGAGAGACAGAAAGCGAGAAATCACTCCCCAGAGGGGATGGCCATGCCGCAATCCCTTCTCCTCTGTTCTCTCGGGATCTTGGGCACGCATGCACACGCGCCCGGAATGAGTTTAAGCCACTGGGTCCGGGACTTGTACCGTGGTCAACTACATGGGA